AAAACAAGCAGTCATTTTCAATCTCAAAATATTATGCAGATGCCATACGCAATTACACTGTACAATGCAAGAGAAAAACTTGCATTTTCTCCTGCATAGTCACATATTGTATGAAGATATAATTTATATAGATTTGTAACTTGCATAAAGATACAATAGACTGGACTTTACATTCTTCTATAGAGCTGAATTTATTGGATGACCTCGATTCCCACAATATTAGCGATTCATGTTGCAGGTCCACTGAAAGCCACTGAGGCTGGAGAATCGGGATCAGTAGCCACGGCCGGTGAGATCAGGCCCAGCTTCCACCACTTGCTCCCTCATCTGATACTCTGGAATATTTCTTCTGACCTTGGCCTGGTCCTCCCTACCTCACAGGCTCTGTGTAGGCTGTGTCTCGTGTTTTGACATGTTTTGCAATAACACTCAGCTTGAGCTGGCTCCCTGATCCCCTTAGACAGATAAGGCCTCTCTGTCACATGTGCCCAGGGCCTTGCACTTCTCCCTTGCGGCTCTCATCAGAGTTGCAGCTGCCTGAATGTGTCTATTAGGCTACTGTCTGATTCCCTTGTAAGCCCCAACCCAAGAGGGTCTGGATATGTCCAAATATGTACAGAGGCAGCTCTCAGGAAATCCGGGCTGAAAAAATGCACGGGTGAAGGAATATGTGAGAGTACGTGTGCGCGAGGGGATGTCAGGAAGCCAGGCGGTGGAGGTGAAATACTAAGCTGTTTTGCTTCCTCTGAAAGGCAGACAGGAGACGAGCAAATGTACTGAAGGGAGGTGGGGAAAGCAAAAGGTACACGAGGCAAGTGTTTGCAAAGTACGAAGTCGGCAGAGAGAAAAAGAGTGCAGGGCAGAATGGAGCACAGGAAACTCTAGGATCTGCTTGGACCCCTGCTGTGTTTTATAAAGGCTGCTCTAGTGCAGGGCAAGGCAGGTGGGAGGAGAGCATGTCCCCAAGAAGGCCTGCTGAACGGGGGCTGACATGCTCGTTCTCTTCATAACACCTATGAATTCTTCCCCTGCATCTCCAAGGACTTTGTGTGTCAGTGAGAGAAAGGCTCAGCATGGCAGCACAGCACTTCTACCGTTGTTTTCCATGCTCCATACCCCATATGAGGGGAAGGGCCAATTAAAAATCAAAACAGGCAGTGATGCAGGAGGAAGAAATCGCCGAGAGCCCTTCACTACACCCTGTGTCATCTCCCAGCGGCCTCTTTTTCCTAAGACATCAGGTTCAGATCACCTCAGGGACATGCTGCCACTAGCTGCAGGCTGCCTAGCAGAACAGGGTCTGAGCTCTCCTTACTGGTCCCTAACAATGACCAAAACATACCCACAAATCACCAAACACCAATCTCTCTGGATGCAGTAATCGGACCTTACCGAGACTATTTTCGGAGCCCACATGGCAGTTAGAACTAGAAAAGACAATAGCAGAAACTCTCTTATCCCTTGTAGAAAGAACTTGCTTTCTGCTTTGTCCCGTTTGAGGCTGCTCCTTGGAGCATTTCATTTTCTGCTTCAAAATATACAGCATCTCTCAGTAATGCAACAGGGTTGACATTGTTGATATTTGGACATTTAGAATCGAAACAGAAAGCAAATTAATATATTGTTTTCTTGACTGGCAAAGAGAAAAGGTCTAGAGGGAGTTTGCCAAAGAAGAAAATGAGTTGACTGTTGAGTGCTTAGGAGTGTTTCAGAAACAATTCTAAATGAAACAAGAACTTACTATTAAAACTGGAGGATTCCTCGCACTGGTTTTCATCTTCTAATGAAATTAATCTTAAATAAAAAAGTAGTCATTAAATTCTGCAAATGTCATATTTATGATATTTTCAGTACAGTATCTATTACTTCAATTATAAACACACACACACACACACACACACCACAAATGTGGAATGAAAGGGGAATGAAAGGTTGTTTACATGTAATATATTCTCTGAAGGACAAAAAAAAATTGCTGGCTTTCTCTCTCCTTCTGCATCATCTTCATAACTGAGTTTTCTTTCCTCATAAGGTACCTATTCTGTGAATATGTAGATGGGCAGTTAGACCTAGGCTAGATATGTATAGTTGTATACTATGCTTCCCCCAAAACAAAACCCAACTGGAAGGTAAGCCCGAGCTGACCGGCATTATAGTGATGGCCAGGGTCATACGGAACATTATAATTCCCCTTCTCTTGCTCAGTGGCTGCTCTGTAATAGCTGGCAAGACAAGAGCAGGCTAATTGCGGTAGGCAGTTTTGATCTCTAGTTTCTAAGGCTGTTTGATTTTCTCTTCAGGGAAACACGGTAACAATAAAAACTGATGCTGAATGGTGGTTTATTCTGATTCCTGGTGTTCCCGAGCAGGATAGTGGTCAAACCCAGGTGGATGGTCACCTATCACACTCTTCCTGTGTCTTTAAAAACAGACGTGTCCCAGCCGCGAGTCTCATCCGGTGTCTGAGCACTGCTCCTAGCACTGTGATTCGCTTACAGCTGCTATTTCTGACCACAGATCTTGTCAGTTTCACATTGTCATTTCAAGTAGTGACTGGAGTTTTAAGTTCTGAGCTCTTAAAATTGAAGTAGTGAAAGATATCTGAAAAGTAAGATATCTGAAATCAACTAAATCAAGAAAGTAAGTCCTAGGTGGTTGCCTAGTGCTTTGACAGCATTAATTTAGATGGTGAGCAGGAGCCCCTCTGTGCCTCACTTCCATCCTCTTTACAATGGGGAAACGCCCACTGAATACACAGAGGGCGCACATGAGGATGAGTCACATAAGTGGTACCTGGCACTGTGTACACCACGCAGCGGGTGCTCACTAAATGATAGCAAAATTATTGCCCTTATTAGGAACGGGTCCAACAAGTTCCCCCTAAATGAAAACTTGTTTGTTCTTCTGCACCAGCAAAATTTTGGGGCACTTGCTTTAAAATTAAAAAGGGATAAGATCAGCAGCCAAATATTCCTATGAGAAAAAATCTGAAATATTATTTAGAAATATGAGTAAAAAATATAAGCTTGTCTTACCATAACATTGTCATCTAAAGTTTCTTTTTGTGTGTGGAGAAGGAACAGTGAACAGAAACAAGGTCATCTCCTTTGCTTTCCCTGGGCCAGCAGTTCAGATTGTCTGCATTCCTGAGCTCTCCATCTCCATAGCACACGACCCTGACTCCCATTTAAACCTTCTTCTCATTCTTTGGGATTAGGACCATGTGCCGCATACGCTGAAAAATCCATCAGTATCTATAGTGATGGAGGCACCATGTATATGGAGGGAAGAAATCAAGACTGGCAGTCACCTCCTGCACTGGAGTACGTGCTCTACTTCACAGAGGAAAAAACTCAACATTGGAATGTGAAAAGGGAATGTCACAACCCAATACCTTTGCAGGAGGATACCTCAGGGATAGGTGTGGGTACGAAGGCCATTTCAAAAATCATCAGCCTCCAATGAGACAAAAGCCCAGGGCACTTCCTGATTAGCAGGCATCTGGTGAGTGCTGGTGAGAACAGGGCCAGGTAGGGACAGAAACCAGAAAGGACACACGGGTAGGTGGGAAGCCGCAGGACAGAGAGCCAGGCAGCCCTTTCCTGCCCTCTCCAGCTCCTCAAAACGGTGCTTGTTCTGTGGACTCTACAAGTGGGTCTTCTACTGGGTCAGAGGAGGAAGGGGCTAGCAGGAACATGGGCTGAAGAGCTTGACCTCCACGTTAATGCACCTACTCTGAGATGTGAGGGAGATGACCACTCTTTGTGACCTCACTTGACTGGGCCGTGGGGACCATGCTGCCCTCACCTGTTGGCAGTGAGACAGTGTCAGAGGAGGGGGCTGGGACTTACTGACTTGGCTCCTGGCCTGCTGCCTCCGTGCTATCCTGTTGCGCGATTCTCTTCTCTTGTTTCTCAACTAGCTTTTTCATAGGGTCTTGTAAGCTCTTGATCATGTGCCGTAGACAATTAAAAAAAAAAAAAAAGAAAGAACAGAAGAAAAAATGAAAGAGAGAAATACCATCAATAAAAAATTCAAGTGCCACTGGTCTCAACAACTAAACCTCAAATCAGAGGTACTCAGTTGTTAACCTGAACCAATCAAGTAGACAGAAGTAAAACCTGAAATGGCAAAGCCACAATGTCTTCAGCTCCATCTAAGAAATACAATCCTAGCTTACAAAGGATACTTGATTTGTGGGTAGATTTATGTATTTCCTTTTGTGATAAGTTATTCAAAAGAAGGCCTTTTAGCTACCACTAACTTTATTTTCCAACTTCAACATGCAGCTAAGATAAACATTCTGTTCTGCTTGCAGCCTACACACTGACAGACTGGAAGCTTCCCCTGCTGCCACCACCAAAGATGAGAAAATTTCATTTTATTTTTTATCTTGTTTGCTATTTTGCAATCTAAATACTGCTTGAAAAATAACAGAAAACAAAACCTTTTTTAAAACACCCAAAATAGTGTCTTAACGTGTATTCTGACAACTTAATTCCTAGGAAGGGACAGAGCAAGTATGTCCAAATTTTGTAGATTAAAAGTGAGCATGAGTTTAATTTTTTTTTTTGCATATCATTTTTTGGGGTTACTCTTTTCAAGGTTTATTAAATATCTAAGGAAAGATATTTTTAAAAAACCCTACAGTAGTGCCAAAGGAAAAGCAGTACTACTTTAACAAATGAATAAGAATCATACAAAAGTATCTATTTCCGGTCCTAATTAAAATACAAAACTACAAATACAAATAAAGATCTCAAAATACTAATTCTTATTTTCTTGTAACTATTAACATTCAGGTTCTCATCCTTTGGGCCTATGTGTCTCTTCTGTCTTCCGCTTTCCCAGTTCGCTCCTCCAGTGTGACATGTGCAGAGGGAGGCAGATGGGTGTCATGGCCAACCGAGACTGATTAGTAATGGTGGAGGAGAGATGCAGGCTGTATCAATGCAGAGCAGCACTGTGACTGATTCTGGACACCAGATGGATACTGGTATTACATCCCTAACTGTAACCTCTGTTTTACTCTCTGCACAGAATAATTCTCCCAGGACATACATACCGTCTTGTTATGTTTCTCAAGAACTTGTAATAGTGGGACAGAGGGCATGAAAAGGGGATGAATAAAGAATTAGGATGTGTTATGAACATGTACCACCTCCACTCAATGAAGTTAATCATTATGTACTGCAAATATGTAGCAATAAAATATAAATTAAAAGAACTTACAGTAGTAGCTCCTATTTCTTTCCATTTATACCCTAAAAACCTCTCTGATTTTAAAGATCTAAAATGTGAACCTGCCTTAACTCTCCCAACTGTCTTCTCACCATCCCTTAAACATGAGCTTTCCATTCCATTATTCCTGTCTCCCCAGTCATTGGTATGATTCTTGCTCCTTTCCTGTCTTTATTCATTCTATTTGTCCACCCTCAAAAGTCCTATCAATCTTTTGAAAGCCCAGATAAATAATCACTATTTTCTTTAAAGCGTTACAAAGCATGCCAAAATCAAGGAGGTTCTTCCCACTCCAAAATGCATTTATAGTCTTATTAATATTTAATCATTTATTCTTATTGTTTTCTCTTAAAATATTTTTTTAAATCAGAAAAATTATAGTATCATTATATAAAGTTTGGAAAACTTAGTCATAATTCCGTTCCTCTAAAATGGGTTATTATTTTCTTTGACTTTATACTCATACTACTTATGTAACTGGAACCACATAGAGCAGATGTCCTCTTACCGACACAATTTATGCAGATATTCATAATCAAAAAAGTTTATTAGAGTGGAGCACTTTAAATACTTAAATTGAAAAGTGCAAAAGTACATTCATTCACCAATATGCAGACATAGGATATCAAGGTCTTCCCTTTTAGAATATGTCCCTGAGTGGAGTTCTGAAGGACTGTATCTTCTTGTATAAAGCACAGCTGTAAGGCATTGCCACAATTTTTAGTAACTCCTACTTCTGAACACTTAAATGAATACATTCATTCAAGAAATCATTTTTGAGCACCTACTAAGTGGTTTTGGTGTTTTAGACTCACTACAGAATAAGAGAATTATCAGCTAGTGATCAGCCAAGGCAGATAAAATAGAAGTATGGAAAGTGATTAGGTCCCTACTTCAGTATGATCTGCTCTCTCGGAAGTGACATTTCAACTGACAGCTCAATGACAAGAAGAAGCCAGCCCCGGGCAGCTCAGGGAGAAGGGGCCCTGAGAGCAAAGGCCCAAAGATGGGGGAATAGCTTGGCGCCTTTAAGGAACAAACAGGGCGCCTCTGGGGTTGCAGTGTGGTTGGCAAGACTACAAACATTCTGAGACCAGGATAAAGAGGCCAGCAGGGTCACACAAGGAGAACATTCCTGTACTCAGATTCATCAATTGTTAACATTTGGCCCCATTTGTTTGCTCTTTTAGTCTCTGCAATACGCGACCACTCAATGCAATATGTGATCCTTGGCTATACAGCCTGGACCAGAGGGGAAAATGCTACTGTGAACAGAATCAGAACAAATGGACAATGGACACGGTGGTCTAACGGTCATGGTTGTTCAAATATACACCAAAGCATCCAGTAAAAGCAGTGTGTGAGTATGAGTGAGTGTGTGTGTGTGTGTGTGTGTGTGTAATGCTGGTGACAGGCAGATCTACTGAAAAGAATATACGCTTGACATCTGATAAACTTCATGGCCACTCATTTCTAGAACATACACCCTCCCCACATACACACCCACACACCCCACCCTTACGGGAGATCTATTCCTCCATAGGAATAGTCAACTCTGGTCACAGTGAAGCCTGGAGTATTTTCAGCCAAAGTTCTGGCGGCTCCCAGGACTCACTTTTTTGATTCGTTGACACTTGCCCAGGCCCCTGGTTCGCTCGATTATCTTCTCATTGTGTTTCCTTTTTATCAGCCAGCGCTGTGCAGGGCCAGGCCACTTCAGCCTCGTGCAGAGCTGCCACAGCCCTTGCCTAAACCCCTGAAATGTCCTTGACAGTTCCACGGTTATCATCCCCTGTCTCCAGCCTGACCTCCCCTCCTGACCACACTTGAGCAGCTCTCAGACAATCTCTTTGTAATGTAAACCACTCATTCCTTCTTTTCAACCCTTTCCCCTGTTGGGCCATTAGCAGGGACTCTATTGTTGGCTCCCTGTCACCATAATCACAGCTAAGACACTATTGTGCTTCCCACACAGAATGGCCGCAGTTCCAATGGCTATTTTAATTTATTATTAATAATTCCTGTGACAGTTCTGCCTCTCTCCCTACATCACCATTGTCTCTGTAACAATTTGGTTTCTGCAGCCGGAGAGAGGTGCTAAATATGTGCTTACTGATTGATAAAAGCACGTAAGGATAAACTGATAAGAATTAGATCTCTTTCGCTAGGAGACTGAAAGGCTCAGGGGAATAATATGAAAAGATTTATAAAGCCACAAGCAAAATTAATATGATCAAATGGGCTTCTTTATTAAATATTGGAACTGGGACCCGAGGGGAAATCTCATGTACGTTCACGTAAGTACACGTACCTCATGTCACAAATACACACATACACATATGTACACCCACACGCTAGTTTAACTGAGATTTAATTCATATACCATAGAATCTGAACATTTAAAAAATATAACATAATATATTCACAAAGTTGTACAACCATCATTACAATCAATTCTAGACCATTTTCAAGAGGTATCTCTTGAAGCAAGAAAGAGTTTTTAAGATTAAATGAAGCTAAATATTCTTTCTACATATCAAGAAAAAAAGCAAAACCACATATGGAATTTGGTTCTTACAAAAAACTGTGTATACTGAAGACAGAAAGAGGTTAAAAGGAACTCTGAAAGATCATGAAGAAGTCCTATCCCCTTGCTCCCCAAAAATCCATTCCTGCATGTGACTGTCAGATACAGAACATTCTGTAGGATAGAAAGTATTCACCCCAAGTTTCCTTGACAAAGCTTCAACCTAGGGAAGGGAGGTGGAAATGAATCCTTCAGGTTCTTTTGAAGTCCACCACTTAAACCTCCAACATCACTACAGGTCAGGGATGCCAGCATTTTCTACAGGACAGGAACAACTGCTCAGGCAAAAGACCAGAAGAGGTGCAGCTGGCTGGGTACAGATGAGGCAGCCATCACACGAAGTGTTTCCAAACCCTGGCCAATGGAAGCCACATTTAAATCCACGTCTGGAAATGAGTACTTGTCATTGTTATTTCTAAACCCCAAGCCCACTAGTCTTTCATTAAAATTGCATGTGAAAAGCACTGTGTATTAGCAGCACACAGCAGCACACAATGCTGAAAGGTTCTCTGCAGAGGGAAGAAAGTTTTCAGGCTAAAAAACCTTTTTCTCTTAAGGCTGCACCAACATGCTAACAGTTTCGATCGATGCTTACATAGTTTCAGGAAGTACACGGACACACACACACACACACAAACAAAACATATAAGATCAGCGAGACAGAGGAAACGTGCAGACCCAGCTTACAAAAGTGTCTCAGAAAGGAAACAGCTTAATAACAGGAGTTACTACTTCCTATATTAGGAAAATAAAAGCAATAGCAACATTCATCTGAATGAAAGCAAAAGTACTCAGCAAAACAAATTTCCCAGACAAAAGGCCAGCAGCCAGTTCTCATAACTTACATTTAAGGTTTAACTCAGATAGCTAAGTAACATTTCCTCTAAACCTTAATTATGACAATTAATTTTCTTTTGCTCCTTTCCATTAATTACACTGTATACTTCTGAAGGTGCCAAATAATTGTCAATACAATGAGATAAAAGTGCTCAAAATAGTAGGCATGGTTAAAAGATGCTGAACCCAACTGTGTGTGCGCATGTGTGTGTTTATATAATTAACAGCACATGAGAAATGAAAAGCAGAGGCCACGATGTGTGCAAGGCACACAATTCGTA